ACACTGTAGTATAACAACTATTGTTAATATCTTAGCACCATATTTTGAAATTCTGTACCATTTTTATTGCTCTCTATGCTGTTTTGTTTATGTATTTGTTTTTGTTTTTTTAAAAAATGAAAATCAAAATTTATATGTATGCATAAGGATAGCTGGAATAGGTATATTGCTGATGTCTATAGTTTACTGAGAAGAATAGTCAATGCTTACAATTTTCCTTTTTCTTGACCAATTTTACATGCTTGAATTTGGTAGTTAGAATGACTCATCTGAAAATAATATCCAGTATTAAGAACCATTATTGAACTCCTACCATTTTGTATGGTGAAGCCCTGCATCATTTCCAATGTTTTTTAAAAAATTATTATTATTTTTTTACTTGTTACTGTCTTTGCTTGTTTGATCAATCTTACATTCTTATGTTTAATGGACTGAGCAACTTCACGGAAGATAACAGTATGTAATACAGCAGCCATTGTAAATTTCTATCATTTTGTCTTGAGGTCATGTATCCTTTTTGTTGTTTTTATTTTGTCTTCATTGTTGTTTTGTCAGTTTTTTTAATTTTTAAAATAAAAAACCCTCTATAGTCTAAAACTGACTGTGATGAAAGTTGCACAATTATGTACATATACTGAAAACATTTAAATGTACTCTTTAAAATGGGTGAACTAGGGGCTGGGGATTTAGCTCAGCGGCAAAGCGCCTGCCTGGCAAGCGCAAGGTCGTGAGTTCGGTTCCCGGTACCGGAGAAAAAAAATAAAAAAATAAAAAAAATAAAAAAAAATAAAATGGGTGAACTGTATGGTATGTACATTCCATAAAATAGCTCAATAAGCTGTTACAAACAAACCCCCTTACAGATCACAATACTATGTATAAGTGAAACACTAGAATGAAAGTGCAAAACCTACAGCTTCCTAAAAGTGTTGCATATTGACATATTTTATATTCACAGAAAAGCCAGAAAATCTCTAAGATGAAATCAAGTCTGCAAGGTTTGTATTTCCTTGTAAACTATCCAACAAGTTTAGCAATAATAATATATAAACTTTCAAAAGAGCTGTCTTTTTTGTTTTTTGTTTGTTTTTGTTTTGTTTTTTTGAGACAGGGTCTCACTACATAGTTCAGATGGGCCTTAAACTTACTATGTAGCCCAGAGTGGCCTTGAACTCATGCAGATGCTCCTACCTCAGCCTCCCAAGTACTGGGATTATGCACCTGCTCTACCATGACTGGCAAGCATTATCTTTTTAGAAAAAAGTATCTTAGATACAAAAGAGGTAAAGAAAATATACCCATCAATTTCTCACTTATGCAGGAAAGTTATAAACTGAAAGCAGCACTTCAAACAGCCTTAGGACTTCAGAGGTTTCAGACACTTAATGAACCGTCTGACCTGATGGCCAGGCACTGCTGCTCTACAAATCACCTCTCCCACTCCTCTCAGGAGTAAACAGTGGGAGGGGCTAGGGTTGAAAACAGCAAGCAAATAGTTTGTAAAATTTCATGGATAAATTTAAAAATTTACTGATTGCACTGAATTTAGAATGTTACAGGCAGCTAAGGAGGCTTCTTTGAATAGAAAAGTAATAAGAGTTGATGCTATTTATTGTAGTTAAAGTTTGGCTTAAAGGCTGCTCTAGGCTCACATGTAAAGGGGAGAATAACTCTAGTACTTTGGGATTTCCAATAGCAAGGACTGTAGGCATGGGTGGACATGGGCCCTTAACTTTTAGCATAGCAAGTTTTAGACCCTTCAGTATGAGACTGTTGTTTAAAACCTAGAAGTTGGGCTGGTGATATAGCTCAGCAGCACAAGCACCTGCCTGGCAAGTGTAAAGTCCTGAGTTTGATTCCTGGTATCAAAAATAAATAAATAAGTAGGTAAGTAAGTAAGTAAAACCTAGAAGGTTCACTCAGGAAACAATATTTGTCTAATGACAGAAATTCTCTGTAGACAATGGGTGTCCAGTCTTTTGGGTTGCCTGGGCCACAATGAGGGAAGAGGAACTGCCTTTGGCCACATATATAAAATATAAAATATATACTATATTGTTAATGAGTAACAGACCTTTAACTTTAAAGAACACAACGTAATTCTTTTTTTTTTTTTTGGTACCGGGAATCAAACTCAGGACCTTGCGCTTGCCAGGCAGGTGCTTGTGCTGCTGAGCTATATCCCGGGCAACATAATTTTTTTAAAAGACAACATAAAAATGAACTTGGTGGGATATTTGACCCTGAATTTGTGAAATTAATGTATCAGTGTCTGGTTCCATGGAAGTGGTTGTAATTTTCAGTGAGTTCTCAAGGTGGTCATCAAAAACTTTGATCTAATCTTTCTCTTTGTGTGCTTTATGCCTGAAAATAGTTGTCCACAAACGTATGCACTGCCGAAAAGCAATAACACAAAATATTATTGTGAAGTAAGGGATATTTTTCTTTGGGAAAACAGGCCTTACAAAAGTCTAGTAAACAGACATGATCACCTTTTTTTGAGTTGAACGTCTAATTGCAACTGTATATATTCCATTTGAAAATTCACAGGCAGTGTATTCATGTTGATTGAAAATATAATTGCAAATACACCAAAAACCTGGGCTGGGGATTTAGCTCAGCAGCAAGCGCCTGCCTGGCAAGCACAAGGTTGTGAGTTCGATTCCCAGTACCGGAAAAACAAACAAACAAACAAACAAACAAATAAAACCTGATGATTTCTTCAGAATCCCCTAACTTATTTATTCTCAAATTCCTGTACCAAGAAGGAAAGCAAGATTGCACATATTTCGCTGTTCACTGGACTGTGTTTAGCCAGCATATGAATGTATAAAGTTACTCGCACAAGTACAAATTAGTTGCACAAGCACATGAGGTCTGACACGCGGTTCTGACTGGACTGACTGTGTGGAGGCTCCGCAGGCCTAGTTAGCACTGTACTGTGCCTTCCCCTATACAGTGTTCTAGTTATGCCAACACAGTCCACATTCAAGTACTGTGCAAGCGAGCCATGAAAAGTATTGCTAAAAAATCACATAGTGATGTTAAAGTTTATGGTCTTGTAGGGCTGCATTACTACCTGCCCAGGGCTGCATGCAGCCCTCAGGTTCGACGGGCCTGCTAGACAACCATGAGTAGACAATCTAATGAGGAACGGGAAAGACATCACCTAAGGAATATTAATGTGCATGTATATAATGAGAAGGTTCAAATTTAATCTTTGGTAGAAAAAGGAAACAAAATTATGAGTGAACCTAAAAAAATGCATCTATGAAGGGCGCAGTTAATGCCAGAGACAACATAATATTGTGTTGGATATGTTCATTGCAAGAGGAAAACAAGAAGGGGCCAGAATATCAGTTTAGGGGAAAGGAATATAATGTTTACAAATGAACAGTAAAAGAAGCCCAACCCAAGATGAAACTCTTGCTCTTTATAAAGGAAACAGTCTCCATATTGGTCAGGACAAACAGAAAATATGGAGATGGAATCTGGCCTGGATGGAAGTGGAGTGTAGGGACTCTGCCACTTGCAGTGATTTCTAATGCTGCCTCTGAGATTACTCTTATGGGGAAATGGAGCTTTCCTCTAAATTCCCTTTTATTCCCCCCAGGACCTAACTTCTGTACAGTCACTAGCTCTGGCTTCAGATAGGAAGAGAGAACATTACTTTCACACAGATGAGAACCCAAGCCTACTCAGGTTAAGTTTGTTGTATGGATTCACCAGTGATAGATGCAATGGTAGTTTCCATGTAAACAATCTGCTGTATCAGAGACTCCCAATGTACAGGCACAAGCAAATCCACCAGCAACAGCAGCAGTAGTTAAGAGAACCTTTTGAGGAGCACCGTGTGTTGATTCAAGAAAGGTTTATCGAGCATCTCAAACTGAACGAAGCAGTAAGAACAGGTGATACGGCAGAGATGAGACAGACATCATGCCTATCTCGTGGGGCTTATAGTCTTATAGGGTGATTACTGTTCCAAAAAAGGAAGCCTAGGTTGCTATGGGTACTTGAAAACCAGGAATGGAATTGAATCTTTATCACCTGAGTCTCCATTAATTGAAAGTGTTTCAAAATTCTGAAAAAAATTTATTCATTTTAATTAAAAAACAAACCATGACCATTTATCCATAAGAAACTCAGAGAATGCTATTCTAAACACTGAGTTTTGTAATTTGAACAGATACATATTTTAATGAAAACAAAATTTTGTTGAATATGAAAAATCCTAAGTGAAAATTTTCACCTCCTTAGAAATTTTCCTCCTACAGTAAGACTTGGTGTTATTTGCTCTTTTAATCTATTAAGAGAGATTGCAGACTAGCTTCTACCACCTTCCATTCCCCCAAGCTTCCAAATAGTGGGAGAGTTGGGATTTGAACCAATGTATGTCTACAAAATCAACAAAGCAAATCAACTCCCGAAACTCCACCTGATGCCCCCTTTTCAGAGCAAAGACAGTGTAAGGTCTCTAGAAGACAGGAAGGTAACATCAGTGAGCAAAACAGCAGTTAATGCAAATGCCTGTACTTCATGAGCAGTACAACTACAGGGAGTTGAAGTGGAAATTGAAGAGGAGAGCAGCTATTTGGTTCCAGTGATTGCTACCATGTGTGACACTGCACTTTAAAAGAGGTCCAGAAATTCAGATTTTTATACTTCTGAACATACGGATGTTAATACAAGTTTGTCTGTTTAAAGAGCACTGTGCAAGTCAAACAGGTCATCAGCTCTCCACCTTTGCTAACGCATCATCTTTTGAACAGCTTTGATTTGAGTTACTGTTATAATTGTAACAATAACAGGTGAGGCAACAGGTACATTAATTCCTTAAATACCAAGAAGGTGCTTGCTTTTTCAGATAGCCCAGATGCACTCGTGTACTAATACCATGCAAGATAGAGCTGATCACAGGTATTTTTTCTCCCAGGGGCTCACAGAATACATTTCCTTTCTTTCCTGCAGCAGCAATTCCACCCTGACTGCTTGCTTACCCGCTTGTCAATGTCGTTGTGTTGAAGCTGCACAAAGCGTGCACTGATGGCTGCGATGTAACTCTGCTGATTGGAGAATGCCACGCGGCCAGCACCTTTGGGGTACTTCAGCTCCGGGTCCGTGTCAATTCCAGCGTAGCAGACACCACCATACAAACGGTCCATGATCATTGCCAGTTCAACTACAAGAAAATAAACATAGCCATGTATAAATATTTGGAAGGCAGTTTTGCCCAAAAGACTCTTAATTAAGAGTAATTAAGTAATTAAGGAAAGGAAAACCCATGTTAAGCATCATAAAGGATGTCTATATTAGTCTCATCAAGTAGGGGAGCGCTACTCACACAATATTTTAAAATAAAATGGGGGGAAAAAGAAATTTAAACACATACACGTAAGAGTTTATATGCTCAGAACTTAAGGCAACAATATAAAAGGAATGCTGTATCATAATGCTCTTGTTCTAATTTCTAACTTCTTGGACTACTGGGATAGGTCCAAGGTAGGCAAAGCATTCCAAAATGCTGTAAAAAGTTAGTGAGAAACAGTACTATTTATTGACCTTTACGACTGAAAGCAGCTGCTAATGTCACAATGTTATATTAGGACTGAGCTATAGAAAGAATTAATTCCTCATTTTAACTAGAAACAATATGTCTAGAATTAAAGTAAATCCCTACGTTAACAAAGAATTAAAGATTTTAAAGAATATATTCCATCCCAACTGAGAAATCTCTACACTAACCTCTCAGATTGAATTCTAAACAATACTAGTAATGGTAATAGCAGCAATGAACATTTATTGAGCATCTATAATGTGCCAGGAAAGCACTAAGTTGCTACATAAGCCATAAAAGCACACCCATCCTGTACCTTGCTACAGGTTGAAAGGTCTGGTCTGTACTCTTTGCCACATTTCTTGCCTTCATATTGGTGAATTTACAAAAACACTTGTAGGAAGGCACTGGAAACTGAACCACTCCAATAGTCTGACTCAAAAATATACCCACCATCAAGGTACCATAAAAAGATACTTACCTGCATCCCAAAGTGCAGAAGGTAATTGCTTACTTGAAACTGGACAGCACCTCTTCCATGTAAGACCATTCCTTTTAGGCCACAGTATAAATCCAAAAAGACTCAGCCCTACCCCTGGGAAGTGACCCAAATACCCATTTTCCTCCAAAACCTATATATTGCATTTGGAAAGGAAAAGACAGGGAGGATACATGATGACCTGGTCACAGCCACTGCTCAAAGACCACCACACAATGTGTAAAGTGCTCTGAAGGAACCAGTATCTGGGGAGAGGGAAAGCACCATGATCTGGCAGGATGGGGAAGAGTTCTGCAGCAGCTACAATGGTAGAAAGGCTGAATGGTATAAGAAGCTTTTGCCCCAAGATTTCTACAAATAGAATGAAAGCCAAACATTATTGGTTTCTTTAACACAAACCTACTAAAGCAATAATAAAAACTGTGTGACCATGTCAGAAGAGATATCTTTTTAACTCTTTAAAATTTTTTTCAGACAAAAAAAAAAGCCAGGTGTGGCGGAGCATGCATATAATCCTAGCACTCGGAAGGCTGAGGCAGGAGGATTGTTGCAAGTTCAAGACCAGCGTGGGCTACAAACTGAGCTCAAGGCCAGTCTAAACTGCATCGGGAGATCCTGTCTCAAAAAGAACCAAAAATTTAAATAAATAAATAAAATAAAATTTCTTTTTATACCAGACTGCCTAAAATTGGTGCCTATTTTCTAAGTGCCTATTTTTAATAGGAAAAATGACCGGTAAATGGGTAATTGTTAAGTAAGAAAATAAGCAGCAATAACAGCCTAAGAGTGAGCGCTATTAAAAATGGAGCATGAAAAAGTCATCCCAATTATTCCATTATGGTCAACATTACTGAATAATATCAGCAAGGGAGCACTGATGGTTAGAGCTCATCTTCAGCAATCCCAACCATTTGGATAATGCAATAAGATTCATGCCCATACTCAATAGCTACTCATACTTCATCCCAAAAATCCATCAAGGGTTAAGCTTTTCCTCATATAGCTAACATTATCCTATAACAGAGATCAAGAAACTGAGAGTAGGATTATCATTTACTACAATCATTAATGGATTTCCCTTATTGGTCAAATGGGCTTAGTAAAGTAAATAACCTCAGGGCCCTGGAAATTAAATACTACTAATTTTCCAAAGACCAGGTTTCCTCTAGAATGGAAAAAGAGAGGATATACTCTGATGAGTAGCTAGGAAAAGAATGCTGGCAAGGAACTGAAGGGCACGTGTCTTCCACAAGATGAACGATCTGAGAAGGCCACTGATTAAGAAGGCACACCAGTTAGGAGTTTAAAGCTCCAGTTAAGGAGAATTACTGTACCCAGAGGTTCTTCTACATCATACTGCCCTCCAAGGAATCCTAGTGATCCCCTGATGCCAGAGAAGGTGCTTCTGCAACCAGGAACATTCCATTACTTTGTAAATCTATCTTCTGGAAAATCACCTCTGTGTGCCAAAGATTAGATCATGACTCATGCTGCTGCTAGTGAAGAACTTTTGATAGAAAGCAGAAACCCTCACCCATTTATACTTTTATGAAAACTAATTATAAAGAAATCATTTCCATTTATGAGCTTCGTCACTTTCTTGGCCATCCAAAAGTCTGAAGGCATTTGAGCCAATAATGTCTCGTTCAAGTGAAGGGCAATTTATTGAAAAGGCAGAAGAAACTAAGGTGTCTAAAGGAAGAAGGTTTTGGAGACTATGGAAACATCCCATCTTTCTACCCTAATCTGTATTTTAAGTATAGAAAGTCTAATATAATATTATGATCATCCTTGAAGAAAAGTAACAAACAATTGCTATTTATATGCAGTCATTTACTAAACCAGTAAATCTTCACTCAGTACACTTCCTGAAAGCTAAACTTATAAAAGGGTCAAAGATGACAAGGAGGTCATACAAATATTAAACAAAGCTTCTAACTATTGAGAAAATAACCAGTTTTTCAATATGTGGCCCTTTTTCCCATAATTTTAGTGCTATAAAAACAGCATTAAAAAAGAACTAATTTAATTCATCCACTACCATATGGATGACAAATAAACACAGGAAGCCTTTCTCATGTTCTCTAAATTTCTAATCTGAGATTTTTCTTTTTAACAGAAAATACAAATTTACCGGCAAATGTCAGATGTATAGCTCCTTTTAGAATCTGGGTTTTTAAGGATCCTTTACAATGACCATCATTAGTTAACATGGGAAAGTTCCATATAAGTTTGGCTCCTCTGGTAGAAGAAAAGTAGAGATGAGAAAAGGGGCTATGATCTTGACTACTTGGAAGGTGGAAAAACAAAAGAAAAGCAGTAAAGGTCAGCAAGGGTGAACTAAAATCTTAAGTTCACCTGTGCCTCGTGACCACCAACCTGCTCGTGAAGTCTGAGTCCTTGATCAAGGATGTGTCTAATAAGACACATAGTAAAACATAGTAAAACCAGCCACTTAGCCTATGACAGTGAATTCTAAACCACCCTACACAGAAGGAAGGGAAGGGGCAAAACTGCTCTCAGGAGCATGTTCTTAATATTTAACCCAAGGAAGGCAAGGGTAGCAGAGCAAGGCATAGAGGTGAAGGAGTCTGGAGTTCACACGGAAGTGACAGCAGGCACAGTGTCCACGAGGAAGTCCGCATTTCCAAACCACATTTTTTTTTCTCTTCTCAACCAGACAGTGCTCTCAGGGTCTGTCTGGTCACCACAGGGGTGGGTAATTAATAGGCCTGGCAGCCACATTCAAGGGCGTACTGTACTTTGAACAACATGCTCTGTACTCCAAAGTCAACACACTATCTCATGAACAACTTCCACAGTAGCAGCAACACAACTACGAGTATAACCACTATGCCACAAACTGGAGATGAGCTTCACTGTGCATTAACTGGAGAGGGAAACAGAAATACTACAGCTGTGTGGAATACACAGAATTCCCATAAATCCTTCTAGGTTGTAGTGGCAATGTCTCTAAAGTATAGCACCTCCATGATCCAATAACCTCTCCAGGAATCTCTTAACCCAGTCAAATTGATAATTAACATTAATTGGCACAATTCTATCCTTCTCAATTTGACACCTAATCATATCTCCTTAAACCATACTTAATCTCCAAATAAACATAATAACAAGCAATAATTCCACCTAATGTGATATAACTATTCTGGGTACAACCAAAAAATCAATAATCCCTGGGCACCAAAGTCTCAAAAATTCTAGCATTGGTCAAAAGTCCACATCCAAAGCCTACTCTGAGTGAGACTCAAGGCAAACTTATCTTGTGAACCCTTCTAAAAAAAAAAAAAAAAAAAAAAATTACAATTCCAAAGGTACAATGGCACAAGGTAGTCATTCCTATTCTAAAAGGGAGAAATATCTATTAGAAAAGAATTGGACCAAAGCAAGACAAAGCCCAGGAGAGCAAATATTAAGTTCTCTAGCTCCACGGCCAGCATCTGGGGCACATGGTGGTAAGATGTGAGTTCCAGAGGGTGTGAACAGCCCAGATCCTATGGCCTTGTTGTTTGCATCCCGCATAGCCTCTATCTCGGGCTAGTTCAGCCTGTGGCTTTCCTTGGCAGATGTTCCAAATTTTTTCTATCTCTAACTTCTTGGCATCTCTGTTGCATCTTTGGCTTTATTTCCACAGTATCACAATTCACCTCTCAGGAACACACTGTCTAGCCTCCTAAACCTTCCTCTGAATTCCTTGATAGCCCCACAACTTTTGAGTGCCTGCAAAACCAGCATCACATGGATGCCACTAAGGATGCCACTAATACAAGCAGTGTTTGGCCCCCTTGAACCAGGCTGTGGGAGCTTCTGAGTGCTGGAATGGATGAGCACAGTGAAATGAATACTGAGCAACCATCTCCCTATTTTGGTGGCCTATCTCAAGCAGGAGGCCCAGAGACACTTTTCTCAAATGAAAGGTTTATACTTTTGCATCCTTGAGCCTGTGATGGGTGGGGTTTTGGCTGATCCTGAGATGCTGTCCTTTTTCTTCTTTGCTGGTTTAAAGTACTTGGTTTCTTTTTAGAGACATGAATCTTCTCAGCAACCACCACCTTTGGTCTCAACATTACACATGCTTGCTTTCTAGATAAAATTTAAGTTTTTCAAA